TCGCACCATCCAACAATGCACAACGATCCAAGCGAGCGAATTCGCCAACGCCAAATGTCTTCGCGAAGCAACAATCGCCAGGTCGTAATACAAGTAACAAACCAGCCGGGCCGACTGCCAATGGCAAAGGCAAAGTTGCCGAGTACGTTCAGCCAGCATGGCCGAAGCAACCAGAACAAAAAACATCCCAAGCAATGACTGGTAAAGCGCCCAGGAACCAGATCAACGGGAAGCGGAAGAACGAGAACGATAACCAGCGAAAGAGCAAATTCTCGCGTACGTCGCCAAATCCCGAGGCGGCCTCTATCCGATCTCGTCCTGCTGCTCGAAGCACCAAGCAAGATGCAACACCTACTAACAACGGGGCAATGGTGCCTAGAGTCGCGGGAAACACGGGTGCTTTCGCCGAGTCCATCATGCGCCAGCTGGCAAAGGATAACATCAAACCTCCGCGTTGGCCCGAAAACCCAGGAAGCTATATGCAACGGGCAGCAATAGAAGCTTTTCGCGGGGAATACAAAAAATATCGAGACAGAGCGAGGAATTCGCTAATGCGAGCGGGCCTAATCGACGACCCTGATAAGAGGCGAAGGCTTGACGAGGCGCTCGTGTTCAAGGGCATTTGCGAAGACTACTGTCCTGAGTGGGAGAAGATTACTCGCATTGTTGAGCATGATATCAGACGCCCGGAGAAAGATATAGACGAATATGGCGAGCTAGCTGCTATGCCCTCGCTTATGGTTAAACGACTTGCCCGCTCGGCTGCGGGACAAGAATCACCACTTCCTATGGACGTGCGATCCGTCGCTACGCTCCGCCGAACCCTGGACTATCTGATCGATGATTTGATCCCAACAGATGATCTGCTGTCAGAACGGCACAGCTTCCTTTGGGACCGAACCCGCGCCATTCGAATAGACTTCTCGTTTCAAAAGTACGCAATGACGCCGGAAGAGTTAAAGGATCAAGTCTATTGCCTCGAGACGATCGCTCGTTTCCATGTTACGGCACTTCACCTTCTCTCCCAAGATGGCTTAACTCCCGGTGACTATTCAGAGCAGCAGGAGATCGAGCAGCTAAGCAAGACTTTGATATCTCTGATTGAAGTCTACGACGATTGTGCACAACAGGAGATTACGTGTGAAAACGAAGCCGAGTTTCGTGGATATTATATAATATTTAATGTCCACACTCCCGCGCTGCTGGAACGTATTTCCAACTGGCATGGACGAAGTGAGGATCCTGATAAAATCAAGTCCGCCATCTGCATTATCCAGGTTATGAAGAACATACGGGAAATGCAAGGTCCTCTATCCCCGAATGCGTCCCCTGGAATGCTTCTGCAAACTATGTCCGTATTCTTCGAAGCCATCGCGAAACCCGAAGTTTCGTACACCATGGCTTGTTTCGCCGAGATTCATTTCAACTACGTGCGCAAGTCGATACTGCAGACCATCAGAAAATCATTTTCGAGGCCGCGATACGGCCCGAAAGATCTTACCCCGGCCGTATTGAAACAGTACTTACGCACGGATACCGAGGAAGAAGCTGTCGAGTTCTTCCGGAAACACGGTTTTCAATTCAGTGAAGACGGCTATGTTATGCTTAGTCCCAGCCCTGAATATGTCGACACTCGCGTGCCACACTCGTTTTCAAGAGATATCGTAGAACGCAAACGCTGCGGACGATCACTCCCTACAGTCATCCATGAAACCGTCTACGAAGATGTTTCCGAGGAGCCGACCGAGGCGTTACTTGATCCAGAGGAGGATAGCTTGTTTGTCAGCGACTCGCAAGATCAAGACAACCAGGAAGGAGCTGAAAGTGAAGGAGAATATAGCGAAGCTACACTTCCTTCTAGCCCACCGACCACCACCCCTCGTCCTCTTCTAGGGATGCTTGGAAACCACGCCATCACTATGCCTAATGCATCTACTCTGATTCCTTCAGTCGCACAGAGCGAAGTTGGATCTCCAAGCCCGTCACTTTCTAGCGTGGCGTCTGCATCGACAGAACAGTCAGCAATGCCAGTTCCTGTGGAACCAAGCGCAGATATTGGAACCAAAGCCGGCGCCTCCTCGTCTCCTAGTCCTTGGCCGGCACCAGTTCCTGCTAATGTCTCTATGGAACAACCTTCCCCTATGAAGAACCCGTTTGGAAATGTTTCTGGAGCACCACCCTCCTTTAGTTTTTTGAACAAGAGCGAAGGCAAAGGTGCAGAAAGCCCATCCGCTGCACCTGGTACCAGTATCTTCTCGGGGCTTTCATCAAAGACGTCAGAAAAGCTAGAGCATAAGTTGCCTATGCCGGCTACGTCTACCTCTAATCCTTTACCGGGAGTCGAATCAAAGCCGTCTGATTCACCTAACAAAGACAAACCCCAACCACCCGTCCCCTCAGACACATCTACGACACCAATCCTAGGGTTCGGATTTCCTACTTCAACTGCTTCCATTAGTCACACTTCAGAACTCTTGTCAAAAGATGGATCTCAACCATCTACCCTCTCATCTGCATCTACGAGCCTACTACAACCCACTAGCGATGCAAGTCAGCCCGCAGTTACCAGCGCAACTACTCCGACATTCCCCGTGAACATTCAACCTACCGGTGCGTCTGCAACTAACCAGTCAACTCCCACTGTTAGCCAACAGTTGACGACACCTCGGCCACAAGATACCTTGTCCAAGGGAGCATCCGTCCCAGCAGAAAATCTTTTCCCACCGCAGCAATCCGGTCGCAAGGCCACGCCGGCTGACCAAAGTGCGATTCATAAGAAGGCACTAGATAACTTCACAAGTTGGTTCGTTCGCGGCGATAAAGGTCTAATGGATGAACGGCTCCTGCAAGTTGCGGTTAACCACGCACTTGAAGGGGTGTGGGACGGGTTTCAGGCGGCCGAGGAGGAACGCAAACAAAAAGAAGAATTAGAGAAGGCATGGGCCACAGCGCGCAAGTTTCGAGAGTACAACCTCGGCGTCAAGTATTTCTATCGCTGGCATAAAGGTTTCCGAGACAGGCAAAGAATCAAACGCATGAAGGTCGAGAGGGAGAAAGCCAGAATATGGAATCTACCCGAGAATATAGCAAGGCGCGAGCTTGCTGCAAAAGAAGAACAGGAAAGGGCGGCTCGGCAAGCTGAGGAATCGATGCTTTGGAGAAGTCAGCACAACGTGGACAAGGCCATCAATTTGAAGCAGTCAGCCCAACTTGAATCAAGGGTCGCCAATATTGAGAACTCGCTTAGTCGGCCAGGTTCCAGCGCGTCCAGCCTTGAAGAGAGAATACAGGGTCTGGAGGACGCGCTCATTGCGACGGGCATTTTCAAAGGCGTTAGAGACGAAAGAGCCGCAGCTCGTCACGCCGCCGCATGGGGAGAGGGTGATGCTGACGTACGCGTTCGAAACAAGTCTCTGCAGGCGGAGAAGCACCGACGTACTAAGCATGGGCTGAACCCACTCAAAGCATTGCCGGAGCTGGAGACCTATAAGGATGGATCTAAGACGGCCATGCTTAGGGCACTTTACAATGGTCCCGGTAGAGATACTATGTCTATGTCCACTGGGAGTCTACGTAACTCGACTTTCAGCTCCAGCTATCGCTCTAGTCTCGGTTATAATGGCCACAGAGTTTCAAAGCATCGGTCGAGAATCGCGGATCCATACTGGCGCCTAAAGGCCCTCGGTCTCGTGCGAATGCCCAATGGAGAATATTTGCACGAATCTGTAGCGTTGCCTATGCTGCAGGAGGGAAAGCGAATCCCTGGTTTCGGAGACTATGGATTGCCGCCTGTTCAAACTACGACCCCGGACCAGTCACCGCTGGTACCACGTCGCTACTCTTCAGCGTCCATCCGACATGATGGAATACGGCCAGACGACGCCAACAGCTCACCATCGAGTGCCGAAGGTCGCAAACGAAAGCGCCACACCGCAGATGAAGCCGACGCAACCCCGAGCGTAGCTGACTCGCCCACCGGCAGGAAAAGAAGGAAGAGTGGTGATGGGGGCCACCTCACTGACGCTCAGACCCACCTAGACGATATCGCAAAGCTACTGAAAAAGGTGGAAACCAGCAGCAGAAGCCCTTCATCCAGGGTGAAGCCAACCTCTTGGACAAGTGTGTTTAAGACATCCTAAAGGATATTGGTAGAGGAAGGACGGGATGAGCTAAACAGGAAAAAAAGAAAGAAAAACAAATTTGGAAGCATAAAGTGCTGTTTTGATATGATGTTGGTATATTCCACATCAGGTGTACGCGGTTAGCAATCCGCCTTGTACAAAGAGAGAAGAGGAATACCCCGAGGGATATGGCACGAAGGCATCGGTGCTAGCCTAGAGAGGTGGAAATGATGAACAAGATATTGGACTTCGCATGCATGGACCGGCGTTAGGAAAGTTCCACTCGGAAAAGGGGAACTCAGCGATACGACAATTCAACTTTTTTTCTCCATTACAAACTACCTTTTTTTTTGGCCTTCCATCCACGCAAATTTCAGGAGTCGGCGGCGGTGGCATATCATTGGTTTCTTGTAACTTGAGATACCCAACCTAGCGTGTTTAAACGGTACCATTTGCATAAAGGAACGGAATTATAAATTGACTGGAAATGGAACGGAACGGAACCGAATGGAAAGGAAATCAAATGAATATATGACGCAGCATGACAGTTTGCTGTCCTGCTCAACTACTTGCTCTTCGTCTACCTGCGTGTGTCTCTGGAACGAGATAACTAGTAACTACCTCCTATATCAGATGCCCGGTTTTATAGGCGGATGTACGGCCAAGTCTGACGCTAAAGACCGCGAGAGCCTCATCAATCAGGCCGTGGGCATAGCACATGTGCCCAGGAAGCCCCGGGCGTGAATGGGTAGGTAGAGAGAGATTTCAGACTTGGCCCTGCCTGCTTGCGCATGCCCACTCGCAAACCAGCCAGCAGGAGTGCCATATAAGCTTGATGGCATCCCCAATTCTTAAACGAGACTCAACACTTTGTCGAAAGGCACGATGGCGGAGTGGTCTAACGCGTGAGACTTGAACCGTGTTCACGATATCTCATATCTTCGGATGCGCAGGTTCGAATCCTGCTCGTGTCGATTGGCTAGCTTTTTTTTTTTTTTTTTTTTTTTTTTTTTGCCACCCAAGTCACCAACGTGTACCACGAAAAGACGACAGGAAGGGAATATTTTTGCTGAACATGGCTAGAGTTGTACCAGGGATCGATGCTACACCTCTTAGCTTGCAAGTATAACTACTGGTTCCGATAGCTTACAGTTCTTCCTCGATAGGATGGTGCGTAGTAGTACCCTGCCTGATTGACTAACCCCGTAGAAACATTTTTAGAACAGAGTGCCAAACGGCACAGCCGAGTGCCTTCAGACTTCAGCCAACAGAAGATCGAAATCATGTCGGAATTGAAAAAAGTTATGATTGATCGCTGTACGCCCTCATCTAATAACGCTTGAGCCTGCGTGGGGGTATATGACCAATTCCAGTCTATATCATCTCTAGCCATTCCAATCTAATTGACTTGATCGAAACGTTATTCCGTAACTCGTTGCTGCTTTTGCTTTTGCTTTTGCTTTCCCTTTCGTATCTTATACACCCTCTTCCCTTTCTCCTCCAGCTCGTATCCCGCCCAGTCGGCCACTTCTCGATCCACGAGCGCTTGCTCGGAAGACGACGCTGTCCTCTAGACCATTTCCCTGTCCTTCTCGGACCGTTCGACGCTCTTCCTCGAGCGGCTGAACAGATTCCGGCGGCTGCTGTGGCCGCCGTTGCTGCCGTTGGTCGGCTGCTTCTCCAATTGCGTGCTGCTGCCAACGTCTGGGCTCTCGTCGGAGTCTTCTTCTGCTATACGCGGCGGGTGGTTCATGGCTGAAACACTAGTCCTTCGAGCGATGAATACATCTTGAAAGACGTCACCAGTAGTGTCCGTAGTGTGCGAGTTGGCTCGTCGACGGGTCGCCGCCAGCATCGAGGGGTCCACTGTCGGGTGCCGCTCTTCATAAGACGGCGGCTGCACGTTGGACTGGTAGACAGGCCAGTCTTGTCCCGAGATCTGGTACTGCCGGCGAGGTTGCTCGATGCCAAGTGCCACCATCTGGTTCATCAATTCGATCGCGAACTTGTTGTGCCGGATAAGACGCAACAACTCATTCTGAAAACTCGTCTTGTGAAAACAGATAAAGTTGACCGTCATGCAGTACGCATCTTCGAAACCCCGGAGCTCCGTAATTATCTTGCTCGTAAAGTCGCGCTTGTTTTCCAATACATACTCCGTCATGCGAGCCTCGAGCTCCTTAATGACGCTGGGTGGAGTACCGTACTTCATCCGGAGCTCGAACACATCAGCCAACTGCCCGCTGCGCCTATGGTTTAGGATAAATAGAGTATTAAGTAGCGAGTTGGGAGCCTGAACAATATGACCTTCCATCTTCTTGAACTCGGTGTACAGGAGAGAGATCTCTGTCACATAATAGTCATCTCCTCTCATCAGTGAACCAGTGTTGCCATATATCGTGACTCGGTCGCCGACATCAAACGGATGCTTGACGAAAACAAAGATGATCGACTGAAGGAATTCCTGGGCCGTGGCCTGCAGCAGCCACGAGAGTCCGAGAATGGCAGTACCAGCCGAAGCTAGAGCCGCCGCAGTAGAGCTGGAGACGATTGAGATGAACACAATGACAGCGATAATAAAGATGACGAAGAAGAACACTCTATCCAACTTGGTAATAACAGAGTCCAGATCCTTAATGGACGCTGCAATAGCTTTCTTCTCGCGGTGAACTTCGTCGCAGAATGCTTCGAGTTCCTCCATGGACACATCACCGTTCAAGTCGCGATCGAATACGAGGAACGCAGCCTCCGCGTCGTCGGCGTTGGGAAAAGCCGGATTCAAATCATGTGGCAGCAGGACTTCGGCGCCGGGTCTCGCGAACGTGCGGAAAAGGCGTCGTGCCAGTACTTGAGCAGAATTTGTATTTCGCAAAAGTTCGGATACGACCTTTCTCGGGTGGTTTCGATGCTTTACCTCACGCCCGGTAAAGTCACCAGCCACTCGATTTGCAATGTCGCCGACCCTCGCTATCGTGTCTCGAGCATTGTTCTGAAACATAGCCATGGGTGTTCGACTACCAGAGCCTGAAGGCGGATTGTTCGTGACTGAAGCTTCTGAGACCAGTTTATCCTTCGAATACTCGTAGAGGTGAACCAGGTATCTGTCTCCTGTTAGTTACCGTAGTGTGATGATACCTAGAAAAGTAACAGAGATAAGACCTACGCGATGGATTGCTTGTTCGCCTCGATACGTGACGAGTACGTTCGTAAGTGGAACGATCCGGCGATCCATTGGATAAGTATCTTCTCGAACCAGTTCAAGGTCGCCAAGACGAAGAACGCAACGATAATCTTGTTGACGACATCGATCCATTCGATAAAGGGGTATTCGCTCTCAGCTTCATCCGGCACCCTGGCTGGTATCTTATGGTTGTTCAGGATCGGGTAGTAGGAGATTAGCACAGCAAGCATCCATAAGAACATAGCGGTGTGGAGTTCCAGCTGTGTGCCAATTTGCGCCCATTTCTTAGAATTTCCTGACCCGAGCGCCTTAGCCAAATATTTCATGATTATTGGCATTATCGAAGTGGCGATTCGGGCAGCCCATAGCGACAACCAGAGGACTTCCAGCCAGATACCGAACCACATCAATTGGACACCTCCCGGACCGCCGATGACGGGTTGCTCGCTCTGGGGTTTGACGGCGCCAAGTATCACGGGTATTAATATGATAGCTGTGATCGGTATGCTATAAAAAAGATATCGAAGAATCCTGGGGAGGCCCTTGATATTCCGGAATAATTGTCTTAGCTTATTTGGAGGCTCAGTCGGCAGACCAATAGTCGGCGTTTGGGTTGGTTGATTAAACACATCCTGCTTCACCGGTTCATGGCTGCGCGCTTTAGAGTGAGCACGACGAAGCTCGGTCGACTCCCAGTGACTAACCGCTTGCTCGGCCTGGAGGAGGGTGAGATCGTCGACGAGCTGGCTTGCCTGGTCCCTGGAATCGGTATCGGACATGTACGCTTGGTCGTGTCGACCTGACTCGCCAGGGACTTGGAGATGTTGCGAGTGTTCGGGCTGTAGCTTGTTAACGTACAAGTCCGAATCGACGGCTGTATCCGAGACGGTCGGGGCGTGGGTCAGGGTTGGCGAGCCCCTATCGTCACACTTTTCGTCATATTCATTACGACCAGCCATATTGACTTTTGTGAGTAGGTATGCTGCTGGAGAAATGGTTTCGGAGCTATGCTTCGAATTTCGTTTTAATACCGACGAAGCTACCAATACTTGACGTGGGGACCAAACATCAGAAAGATCACACGGCCAAGTGTGACAAACTTATGAAGTTAATATGTCCGAGAAGAGATGCAAAGAGGTAACGAATGCGATTGATTGCTCCTGTTGCTATGGCAGGATCCGAGCAACGTGTTGTCTGAACTGAGGTCTGAATAGAACACACAACGAAGTGGTCTAGATCTGGCCCGTTATAGATGACCCTAGGATAACTATTAAACGGATCGAAGTCGGGGAAGACTGGAGATCTATGATACTGGAGAGGTTGAAAAAGAATGGAAATGGGCTCGGAAATGGAATGAGTGCTACCTTGGGCCCGGGACTTAAAAAGATGCTATGAAGTTCTTCAGGAGAAGATCTTCGATGCGTTCAAGATTTGGACATGACGCGAATTCTGGACCCACATAGTCTCTCAGCTTTGTACAAAATTTGATGCTCGGGGGGCACTCGGGGGGGATCTTAGTCCTGTCTTGGCTTCCAAGGGAGGCGGCAAGTTCGCTACGCTAGTGGCCACCCTCACTACATAAATTGAGTGGGGGTACCACTGTAAAAAAAGACCTACCCACCAAGAGATAAAGGGCCCACAGCTGTTTATGAGTCTTGTACTGTTGTACATACTGTACGGACTTACGGGATATCGAAAATAGACATCCTGGTCCTGGTAATGGGGCCAATTTGATAAAGGGGTCTTGGAACTGTCCATGTGGTCCATGGGATCTGGCCATTCTATATTTAGTGTTCCATGCGTTGCACGAGGATCGACTTACACCTTCAAAGACATGAATCATTTCCACAAGGGACAATAGACAAAGCTACTGGATATTTTTAAGAATGACAATCGAACAGAGACACAAAAGAGATTCACGAGTTGTGTTATTGGGCTAGTTCACAGCTACTGTGTTGTACTAGAGTACCACATCCCACACTACTAGGTAGGTAGCTTCCACTCTACGAGAAGACGGAGTATGCGAACCCAAGGTCCCATCCTTTCCGTTACAATGTCATCATAAACGTCTAGTTTACGATTCGAGGAGCGGGTATAGAATGGTACCAAGTCCAGCATTGAGATCTTGTCATAGTTGAACTATCACCCGTCGTCCGAGCTAGCAAGTTTGAGGTCGTAGATGCGTGTGGTTACCTATATCTACAGATGGCAGAGATGGCCAAGTCTCCCCTTAATATCACATGCTAGCACGGCATGCTTCGATTCGATCTCGACGGTGTATTTGCTTCATCTCGCACTGTCTCACACAGCATCTATCAATGCAGGGGCCGTGGGGCTTCTCCAGCCTTGAAACTTTGCAACTTGTGGGAAGGGTGGGAAGTGAGGTAGGGAGGTAGGGGGTGGCAGCGGGAACGCGCCTTGAAACCCTGCCTTGATTCGTTGCAGACCGCTTTGACCTCTCACACAATTGGTCGACTATATCATGAAGCCAAGCCACTTAATCAAGACGACAGCAAGCCCGACGACAGCAAGCCCAACGCCATCGTCGATAGAGCCTCATCTAAACAGGAAGACAGGTTGCCTAAGCTAGGCCCTAGAGGTCCTAGAAGGAGGAGAAGAAGGACAGGCAGACAGGCCGACCGTCCGACAGGATACCACATGCAGTCAAACCTGTCGCTCACCGTATACCCAACCACATCTTTAATCCCGCGAGCCCGCAACACGCGAACCGATCGACACGACGCTGCTGCACGATGGAATGAAAAGAGGCTGGAATGGCTGGAATCCTGTTGC